GAAACATCAACGATGAGAGAGAATCATTGATTGGCTGCCTCCTGTATGCCCCCACTGGGGATTGAGCCTGCAACTCAGGCATGTGCCCTGACTAGGAAACGAACTGTGACTTCTTGGTTCATAGGTGAACGCTCAACCACTGAGCCATGCTGGCCAGGCAGGGTGTGCATATATTAACACTCTTCTACAATGTTCTCCTAGTGCTAACCATTTTCAGCCTTGCATTCAGTTGAGGACGTCCCTGTGTCCCCCAGACCTAAGAGCAGGCACTGAGGATCTTCTGTTTTCTCGCAACCTTGAGGTGCACCTGACAAAGGTGGACTTCACCACCTTTTCTGGGTGGAGCCTCTCCATGCCCCGTGGCTGCTCCCTTGCATCCACAGAACACGGATGGAACCCCCTGCACTTCCTGTCTAGGGAGGATGTAGGGCCCAGCAGTGAGGAAGAAGAGGTGGGATCCCACATATTGACAACGGCCCTGAGGAGGCTGAGGTGTCTTGCTGCTCCGCAGTTGTCTTCATTGGAGATGGACATCAAGTCAGCCTGGAGGACTGACACATTAGCATTGATCTGTGTGCTCCTCCACACACATTCCCATGTCTTCATCCAGGGCCGGGCCCTTGCTGGACCCTGGGGCCCAGAACGGGTCAGACAAGACCCCTGTACTCCGGAAGCTCATGGCCTAACGGGAAGACTGACACCCAAACAGATGACCACAGCACAGCATGGCCAGTGTTGTGAGGCAGGTCCACAGGGGGCTGTAGGAAACAGGAAGGACCCCTCACCTGTCCCTGGCTCAGGGAAGGCTTCCCAGGGCAGCACCTGAGCAGCAGGAGGAGGAGGACCAGGGTCGGCTAACGACTAGGAGATGGCAGGCGGAGAATCGGGCTGGATGGTGTGGCGGGCAGTAAGGGGCTCAGAAAGGGGAAGGAATCTATGTAAAGTATCCTGTAGTCTGGAGAGGGGCAGGCTCAGGTTTCCAAACCAGCACCCTGAGAGCTCTGCAGGGCTGCCCTGGCACAGAGGAAGCAGCCTGAGTGCAGGGCCAGCATGGTGGCAGTGGGCAAGGCTGTGCTGAGAGCAGGTTTTAGCTCAATGTGAGGTGGCAAGACCTCTCTGGCAAAGGAGGTCAGTCTGTCATAGAGCAAACTGCCTGGCAAGGAAATGGGCTGCCTGTCAGCAGAAACATGT